AACTATTTTTAAGTATTTCAGTTGTTGTTTACTCCAAAGCTGCCTGTTCAACACAAAAGGTTGATTTAAAGATTCCTCCCTATTTTATCCCAGTTTTGGCTTCACCTCAAGGCCAGGCAGGAGAATCTCTCAGGGTAGGAACGGAATCATGTTGGAACTATTTAAAGCTGGAGGAACCTTTTTGTTGCTGCCATTTCAACACTTTCCCACCAGAAACAAGAACTGTCTGGCTTTTATTTTATTTTATTTATTTTATTTTATTCTTTCTTTTTCCCTTCTTTTTCCTTTCTTTTCCCTCTCTTTTCCTCCCTTTTCTTCTTTATTATTATTAATATTATTATTATTATTATTATTACCATCACCATCATTATAGTATTTAACATTTACACATTTAATATTATTTACATATAACATTATTATATAGTATATTTTAATAATAATAACCACTTGGAGGGATCAGGTGCCAGAAATGCCAGGAATTTAGAAATGCTTTGCTGATAATCCCTGGAAGGCTGGGAACAGTGTGGGGAAACGGGAATTGGGCCAGGAAAGGGAGGAGAAGCTCCATCAGGATTCCAGGCTGGGACAGAAGCGAGGGCCCAGGGAGCCCCTGGGGGGAAAAGAGCCATAAAATCCAATCGTGGGGGGATATTCCTTGGTCTGGCTGTGGGACAGGAAGAGCTGGAATTGTGGGAGGAGAGGGAATTGCTGGAGCTGGATGAGGAGAGTTTTCCACGGGAGCAGAGCAGAGGAGCTGCTGCAGGGTCCAGGGGGAAAAGGTCCCACCTTGGCCATTCCACGAGATGTTTGTCCAGTGCCTGCAGAGCCTGGGCCAGGCAGAGCATTCCCATGGAATCCTGGATGGGTTGGCTTGGAGGGACCTCAGATCCCATCCAGTCCCATCCCTGCCCTGGGCAGGGACACCTCCCACCATCCCAGGGACACCTCCCACCATCCCAGGCTGCTCCAGCCTGGCCTTGGACACTTCCAGGGATGGGACATCCTCTGGGAATTCCATCCCAGAGTCCCAGGGCCTCCCCACCCTCCCAGCCAGGAATTCCTTCCCAATATCCCATCTCTGGCAGTGGGAAGCCATTCCCTGTGTCCTGTCCCTCCATCCCTTGTCCCCAGTCCCTCTCCAGCTCTCCTGGAAGAGAGAGGCCCTGGAAGAGGCTCCAAGGTCTCTCTGGAGCTTTCTCTTCTCCAGGGGAACATTCCCAGCTCTCCCAGCCTGCCTGGCTCCAGAGCAGAGGGGCTCCTCTGGAATCCCAGAATCCTGGAATCCCAGGATGGTTTGGTTAGGAAGGGACCTTAAAGCTGTGGCTGCCTCATCCCTGGAAGTGCCCAAGGCCAGGTTGGATCCCCCTGGGATGGTGGGAGGTGTCCCTGCCCAGGGCAGGGGTGGAATGGGATGGGATTTAAGGTCCAACCCAAACCAGTCTGGGATGCTGTGGATCTTCTGCTGGAAAACTGCACAATAGTTGGAAAACTGGCAATTCCTCTGCTTTCCAGTTTGTCCCAAGGCAGGGTGGAAAGAGAGGGAGACGTTTCCGTGTCTCTGCAGGAATGGGAGCCCCTGGAAGCTCTGTAGACCTTCTGCTGCCTTGGGAATTCAGGCAGGGCTGAAGCAGGCTTTTACAACTCCCAGCTTTGCTGCTTCCCTGGCTTTGTGTGGATTAAACCCTCGGATATTCCCGTTTCCAGCCCTTGGTTCAGCCTGGGGCAGCGTTGGCACTGCCTGACCCACTCCCTCCTCCCTCCTGCAGAGCTCCTGGTTGTTATTCCTCATTTAATTATTATTAATTATTTAGTGCCTGTCACTTTGCTCTGGAATCAGCGTTTTCCAGCCTTATTTTCAGGGTTTTCCCAGTTTTTTCCAGCCTTGTTTTCAGGTTTTCCCAGCCCTGCCATCGGATTGTTCCATCAGGGCCCTTTGTGTGAAATGTTGAGTCAGAGCCTTTGCTTTGTCTCCATCAGCCCTTTGTTCTCCTCCTTTGCCGGAATGTTCCTGGAGATCTCAAAGCCCCATCCAGGATCTCCCTACTCCCATCCCGGATCTCAGACCCCGTCAGGGGCTCTCCTGTTTGTTTGTGCAGCCGCTGACAGAGCCCTGGGTTCCTTTGAAGGGTTTGGGACCTGCTTTCCTTGTGTCCCCTTGTGTCCCCTGCCCCAGGAAACCTCCCATCCCTCTGTTGTGGCGTGGGAATGCCTTGGGAGAAGGGATTGTTTCCTTTGCCCCGTTTTCATGGATCTGGATGTCCCAGGTGTTTGGGCAGCGTGGACAGGACGGGTTTGGTCAGGAAACATCAGGCACAGAACCCGGCAGGGAGGAGGAAGTGGCTGAAAATATCCCCCTTCCTAAAAATAACCCAGTTCTGAGGCTTCTCCTGGCATTCCTGCTCTTCCCACCTGGATCCTGGGATGCAGGATTGAAATGAGGGGGAATAGAGAAGACACAGGGAGAGGAGAGCAGCTTGGAACTGGCTCCTTCCCTCCTTGCCTGGAAATCCCTTTGCTGTCCCGCGGGTCCGTGGGCGTCACTCATGTGATGGCAGGAATTAAACCAGGCACTGAATGTAGGACCAGGGGCCTTTCTCTGCTTCCTGCTTTTCTTTCCCTGACTTTTTGACTCGGATTTGCTCAGTGAGCCACAGCTCCAGGGGTTTGTTCTCCAGCCCTGATCATGGAAGGGCCACTCCAGCCTTTTGTGCCACAGTGGGGCAGGAACAGGGTCACTGCTCAGCACAGCCTGTCCCAGGCACTGCAGCCCTCCCAAAGCCAGGGCAGGGGGGAATCAAAGGGTCTTTGAGGTCCCTCCAGCCCAAAGCACTCCCAGATTCCCTGATCCCGGTGTGTGGGATGGACATGGAGCTGCTCCAGCCCAAAGCACTCCCAGATTCCATGATCCACAGGAGAGCAGGAGGGGTATCAAAGCCCTTGTTGCCCTTCCCTTGTCCCTGCTCTGGGGGATATTCCAAATATCCCAAATAGTCTGTGTGGGATTTGGCCGCAGCCTCGGGACTGTCCCTCCTGCTCCTGGTTCTGCTGCTGAAACCAAATTATTTTTGCCCCAAAGCCCCGCATTTTGGCCAGGCTGGAGATCCCCAAATGAGAGAATCCACTTCCAAAGCCCCGGGAGAAAACCTGAGCTGATCCTGAAATGATTCCATGGGCTGGGAGGGCATTGAAGGCAACAGGCAAAAAATTTCCATATTTTATGAATATAAAAAAATAGTATTGTATATTATATATTGTGTATATTAATATATATTAGATTTTATTTTTTATTTTATATAGGTTACATATTTTATATTTTATATGTTTTATAGCCTGTATTTTATATTTACATTATATATTATAGCCATGTGTTATACATATAACATGTATTTTATTTATGTGTCTATAAAATCACAAATTATATATATGTAATATATATAAGGTATAAAAAAATATACAACATTATATATATTATATATTATTATAATGTTATTATATTTTACATATGTATGATATGTATACATATATAATATAAAGTATATAATACCATTATATATAGTATATAATGTTATATATAACATTATGTATATTATATATAGAATATATAACACACCAGCAAGTCCATCCTCTTTGTTTCACTTGTATGTTTCTTTACTTCTATTTATTTTTATTTATTTCTATTTCTCTCTTGATTATTATTTCATTTTATTAATTATTCATTAGTATTTTATGATTTATTTTTATTGCATACATTAATTATATGTTAATATATTAATATATTTATTTCATGGTTATTATTTTTATTATTATTGTTTTATTTCTTTTTTTCTTTTACAATTTATTATTATTTCCTTTTTTTCTATTTATTTCTTTTCCTTTCCTATTTCTTTTCTTCCTCTTCCCTCTATTCATTTCCACTCCCACTTTTCCCTCTTCCTTCCTCCAGGACTTTTTCATTCCCTTTAAAAAAAACCCCAAATTCCCTCTTTTCCTCCAGTTTTCCACCCCCACAGTTGGTTCCTCCCTCCTGGTTCCAACCTTTTCCGTTCCAGCTCTCCAGGGATTTGTGTTTCCTTTTTAAAATTGGTGCCTCAGGGAGAATATTCCGATTTAAGTCAGGGAATCAAAGGCTGTTAAAAGGCCAGTGACACCCAAAGGCATTAAAACACCTCCTGAGCATTCCAGCATCTCTGATAAATCCTGGTTTTTTGGTGGAGAAGGTTCAAACTGGATATTTATTCCCGCCCTGAGCAGTGACAATCCACTTTTCCTCTGGATAACTGGGATAACCAGGGTCCAGTTCACCAATAAACCCCAAACACTGATTTTCTCCCTAAATTCTGGGGGAATTCTGCCCTTTTCCCTGGATTTTGGGTGCATGACAGAGCTGCTGTGCTGAGCTTGCAAATAACAGCCTGGAATTGCTTCAGTGCTTGGAATAATTGGCTTTTTTTGGCTCTTTTTGTACTGATCAGAATTGATGTGACTGAAGTGCAAATCTTCATAATAATCATGCATTTGCTGGCAGTGATTGGAGGACCTCCTTTTTGGCAATCTCTGGTAATTCTGCTCCTCTTCTTACTTTATCCTGATTTATTTTCCTTGGAAGTGGGAAATGGGAATTTTGGAGTCGATCACGAGGAATTCCCTGGTTCTGGCTGGGCCAGAGCTATTAAAAAAAAAAAAAAAAAAGGTTATTTTACACCTGGAAAAACATCAAATATTGCCCAGATTTTGATGGGCCTTCAGGGAAATCCTGGGAAAACCTCCATGGATTTCGGGCAGTGGAGGAGCATTAAATTGGGATGAGGATTTGGGGATAATTGGGCCTGGCTGGGGCTGACTCTGATTTATATGGGGGGAAAAACCCCAAATTGTCCTTTTTTCCCTTTTAAATTGGGATTGAATGATTAAATGAATGTTTGATTTATATTTATATCTATATCTATATTTATATGTTTTATCTATATATATAATTTAGATATATTTATATCTATATTTAAATCTATTGCATCTATTTTATATCTAATTTTGCATCTATTTTATTTATATCTATATATCTATTTTATATATGTTTTAATACCTACTTTATATCTATATGTTCATATATAAAAAACCATATAATCTATAGATATAGATGTGTTCCTGTGGGCTCTCCAGGCCATGTCAGCTGGCACTTGATGGGCTTTGTTCTTAATTATAATCATAATTAATTACTAATCACAGCAACGTTCCTAACCCTGGAATGTCTGATGGGATTTGGGATTTGGGGGTGGGAGTTTTGATTTGCTCTGGTTTTTGGGGGGAGGAGGGAAATAAAGGGATCCAAAGGGGGTCGTGCACTCAAACATTCCACTTTTCCCCGGGAAGAGCAGGTGGGAAAAATGCAGGATTATGGTTTTGGGGAATTGTTGCTTTAATTCATTTCCTTTCCTTGTATCCCATAAAACTGGGTGTCCCTGTCCTGGCTCCCTCCTTTCTGACCCTATAAATTCCCTTTTAAAGCCTCTTAAACACTCCTGGAGCTGGAGAATTCCTGGGAGATGGTGAGTTTGGGATCACTGGGAAAACGGGAATGAAGGGAGCAAGTTTAGGGCAACTTGTTTAATCCATGGATTATGTAGTTTATATTCCATATACTGATTTATTTTGCTGTTGGAAGCAAAAGTCCTGCAGTTCCTGGGATTTTCCTCCCCAAAGGCACCAAGGATTCGGAAATGTGGAGCTGGAGGTTGTTGTTCCTCAGGCAGAGAGTCCATGGACAGCTCCACATTCCAGCTGGGATCCAGCCCTGTGGGAAGGACTCCCGGGACCCAGGTTTCTCGGCTGGGTGTGGGATTTGAGGTCTCTTCCCTGATCCTCAGCTGGTGGAAATGGGCTCTTTTCCTGCCCATTCCCTCGTTATTTGGGGTTTGAGATCCCAGAACTCTGACAGCACCAACTCTGCAGTTCCTGGCAGCAATTTTCTGGGAAAATATCCCAGCCTTGCTTTAATCCAGGTTCTTCCAGCCTCTCCTGACCCTGTTCCCTTCCTGCTGCCACGTGTTCCTATTGACATGCCGGGATTTTCCCAACCAAAATTTGGAATTGTGGAATCCTGGAGTGGGTTGGGTGGGAAGGGACCTTCAATCCCATCCAGCCCCAGCCCTGCCCTGGGCAGGGACACCTCCCACTATCCCAGGCTGCTCCAGGTTTATCCAGCCTGGCCTTGGGCACTCCCAGGGATGGGGCATCCTCTGGGGAATCCATTCCAGGGCCTCCACATCCTACCAGGAAGAATTCTTTCCCAATATCCCATCCATCCCTGCCCTCTGGCAGTGGGAAGCCATTCCCTGTGTCTTGTCCCTCCATCCCTTGTCCCCAGTCCCTCTCCAGCTCTTTCAGGAACAGCTTCCTGTGCCAGCTGCTCCAAGGGCAAACCCCTCTGCTCCAGGTTTCCTGGAATCCTGGAATGGTTGCAGTTGGGAGGGACCTTAAAGCTCATCCCATTCCACCCCTGCCCTGGGCGGGGACGCCTCCCACCATCCCAGCTGGCTCTCACCTGGAACGCTGCTTTCCCGGGATGTCCCTGGATCCAGCAGCTCCCTGGAGTCTCAGAGGGCTGAACACAGAATGAGATTTCCCTGGAAAATTTCTCTGGAGATTTCTCTGGCTGGTGACACTTCCCTGAATTCCCGATGTGGTTTTTGAGAAGTTCTGCATAGATTTGACTTGATGACACTTCCTAGAATTCCTGGTTTTTGCAAAGTTCCATGTGGATCTTTGTGTCCCTTCTTTGAATTCCTGACGTGGATTTTGGGAAGTTCCCCACGGATCTGACTTGAGATGAAACCCTTCCAGTCCCCAGGAGGGTCAGAATAATTCCCTGGGCTGCAGTGATCTATGGAATAACAGCCAAGGAATCCCCTGGTTTCACATCCAGGGGCTGCAATTCCATCCTGTGGGAACATTTCAGAGGGAAAAAGTTAAAATCATCTGATATTTCCTTGATTTTGCTGCTTCCACTTTGTCCCCATTTAGCAGCTTTTTATCCCCCTCCTCTCCCAGATCCCAGGCTGTGGCTGTTCCTCATTAGTGATTAATGATTAATGATGAGTTATTTCTGCCCTCTCAGCCCTCCCTGGTGCTGCTGCCCCTGGCAGGGGACAGGAGGGTGTTAACGAAGCAGAACTGGCCCAAATTGGGGGGTTTTAACTGTGATTTCCCCCTCCTGCCCCTTCCTGAGCACCTTTCTCTGGGCTTTGTCGTGTCTGGGAGTTCTTTTCTCCACTTACCTTGGGGAAATGTCAACTCTGATGTCTCTTGACTCCTGTTTGGAGCTTGTTAGTGGTTTTTTGTGCTTGTAAAAGCCATTTCACCCCATCCTTGAAATACCAAAGTTCCCTCTCTGAGGCAGAGGGACCCGCTTTCGGAAGGTTGAGGGGAGACCTTGGAAGCCCTGAACTCCTGGCATCGATGGCTGATGCCCTGTCCGTGGCCATTCATCCTTTTGCTTTATTTGCCTTTATTTTTTCTCTACAATCTTTCTTTTTTTTTTTTTTTTTACCTTAAAGAGGCAGCCTGAGCAAGGCAAAAATACATTGGAGTGTTGTGGAGCTGCCCCGGGCTGGGCAGGAACCTCCAGGGCAGGGTTGGGAGAGTGGGAAGGGTTCAGGCTGCTCTGCCCTGGGAGGATCAGGAGGTGAAGCTCTTGAACGTCACAGAAAACAAACAAACAAAAAATCTTCAAAATCTTCCAGAATGATCTTCAAGTTCGAGGGATGTCTGGACAAAACACACCCAGGGTGGGGTTTTGGGGTGTCTGAGGTTGGACTTGATGCTTCCAGCTCCAAATATTCCCTGGTTTGCCTGCTCTGAGAGGGAAATGAAAGCAAAATAGAGACACTTGGAGCTCCCTGGGGCTCCTCAGGGCTGGCCCTGGGGGGCTGAGCTGGGTTATTCCATGGAGTTCCACCACAGCACTTCCCCAGGGAGGAGCTTTCTCGTGGTGGTCCAGATAAAGTTGGGTAGTTTGGGGCAGTTATCTCCAAACACTCCCTTCCATGAACTTCCTGGGGTTTAATTTGGGCTATTTTTTGTCGTTTCTCTTCCTCCTGTTCTGCTCGAGACTTAAACCCGAAGGGAACTTTGGAAATTGGGCTCCTTTCCCCTTCTTTGGCAGCCTCAGCCCTCCTGCCCCACTCAGGGACCCCAAGATGCCTCCTCTGGGCTCTCCTCACCTCCCTGGCCATGCCCAAAGGTTCAGAGCCCCTTTCTGGAAGCCCAGAGCCCCTTTCTGGAGGGTTTCTCTGGGTCTTGGTGCAGGTAGGAGTTTAGAACCAGGAGAGACAAGGGAGGAATTTCCCTCCCCTGGAGGGACTTGCAGCTATTCTTGGTTTCTTGGCCCACTTTTGGGGGCTCTTCTCGTGTGCCTGGAGATCAGCCTGGCTTTGTGGGAGGCTTGAGGGAGGACTGGTATGGAATTGTTGGAGAACACGTCTCCCTGTGTGCCCAGGAGGAACTGCAATCCCTGTGTTGGCAGAGCCAAGCAAATACAGCCCTGGACAAGTGGAGTGTTTGGGTGCACTGGGGAACCTGAACCCAAAGCCAGTTTGTTTGTGCATCCTTTTAACTTCTTGTCTCTCTCCCATGAAGATTCCAATCCTGAATATCCAGGTGAAAATATTCCCAGCTCTCTGTACTGTGGCAGGAACCATCTTCTCCTGCACCAACTACTTCGGTGTGATCTTCACAGGGGGAGTTGGCAAAAATGGCTCCACCATAGCAGTGAGTACCTTGTCCTGCCCCTTCCTCCTCCTCAGCCACGCCTGGCGTTTTTATTTTATTTTGTTTTATTTTTATTCTATTTTGATTATTTTATTTTGTTTTATTTAATTTTAATTTAATTTATTTTATTTTAATTTCATTTTATTTTGTTTTGGTTTATTTTATTTTTTAATTTCTTTTATTTTAAATTTAATTCCATTTAATTTCATTTTTTATTTTATTTTAATTAATTTCATTTTATTTGTGTTTTATTTTAATTTATTTTTATTAATTTAATTTAATTTTATTTTATTTTGTTTTATTTTGTTTATTCCCCCTCCAGGTGAAATATTTTCCTTTCACTTCATTTCCTGGCTTGGGAAAAAGCCCCAAGTTAATATTGTGTGTGTGTGTGTGTAAGAAGAGCAGATTTAGGAGTCAGAGGTTTAAAATGGGTGATTGGAAGCAGTGCCAGCATTTTGATTTTGGGGGTTTGAGTTACTGACACAAACCAGGTTATACCAATACCCAAACATGCAACCCTGGGGAGCTCACACTGAAATCCGGTGCAAAGTCCCTTCCCAGGAGATTCCTCAGGGAGTTCTGGTCCTTGGGAGCTGAGCACTGTCCTTCCAGCAGTGGGACAGGAGCTGGGGA